ACGGCGACGCGCCAGCCAGCGCCAAGCAGTCATCGAAATCGCGGCCACATTGGTTTTGCAAACCAAGTTTCACGCGAGCGGGTGGTCTGATTGCGCGAACAGTGGAGTTGACAGCGCCAATTTCTGCAAGGTGAGCTGCGCAGCGTAGGTTCTGTTTTCTCAGAGAGCGCCGGGATCAACGCCGCCCCCCCCCCCCTGGAATTAACGGGCCACCCTTTCACATTGCAATTTGCATGCGATTCTGCCCCATCGCCCTTCCTAAATACGAGTTCGTACGGGCCCCGTATACCCGGGCGCGGTAAACCCGGACACCCAGCATCCTTCGAAACCAATTTCCCCTGACAACGGCACGAACAAAATACTGCACTGCAGCATTTCCAAAATAAACCCGGACACAAGCCCTAAAAGCCTGCAAGACCGCTCCAAGCCCCGACACAAACACGAACCTTGCAGCGCAGCAAACAAAAAATACACGGGTGCTGGAATATGTGGCTCTGCAGGAAAAGGCGTTGTTTCCTCGGTTTTCCGTGTCCAGATTCATCTGATGCCTGGCCTCCAGCGGCCTGAACGCACGCCGTCCCAACCAAGACGGATAACGACTCCCATTTTTTCATCCTCTGCAAAAAGATGCAATGCGCGCACTCTCGATCAACAAAACGCATCGGTTCTCAAGAATAGAGTGCCAAAAAACAAGACGATGTGCACGCGCGCGCGTCGTCGCGCGCGCATGCCAGAGGTCTTCAAAAAAAGAAAAGCTTTCGTGACAAATGTCAAATCTAGAACCACGAACACTTATAGAAACATTACATATCGCAACAGAAAAACATTGTTTTTCGAACTTGCCGTTCAATGCTACCAAACGGGCTTCCCGCGCGCGCATGTCGAAATCGTTCGACCGCCCTTGCGCGCGTACTGTCGCTAGAACCCCTTGCAACAGATGGAGCGAATTGCACGCGCGCACGCTGTCGCGCGCGCGTGCCAAAATCCTTCAAAAACCTTAGGTGTCGCAAGGATTTCAAAAACGAGCGCCCCGAGAACATATCAAACCACATGGTTTTGCAACCCCAATTTCCCAAAAATCCTGCGCTCGCGGTCGCGCGGACTCGCAAGAAAACCATAAGTTATCCAACGTGCTCATCAAATCGGCCAGATGGGCCTTTCGCGCCGCACGTCAACACATTCGAACGCCCTTGCGCGCGGTGCGGGGGGGGGGGGGGACCGGCGTCAAATGCTGCCACGCAGGTTACTCGCGCGCGTCGAACGCGCGCGCACGTCGAACTCCCTCAAAAACCTGCATCGCCGACGCGAGGACGTGGTCACCGTTATGGGCGGGCGTGGTCAACATCGGCGCCGTCTTTGCCTTGCCGTCGTCATCGGCACCATCACCACCATCGTCGCTACTCTCATCGTCGCGCACACCGTTGTCGGCGTCGCCGCGATACCGCGCCCACTCAACCCACCGACTCGCACTGAAGTGACCGCTGGGAAATGCCCGGCGGCCAGCGCCACTGCGGCCGCGTCGGTCGCGCCAGACTAGCTGGCCGCTGTGAGCGCGAGCGCGCGCGGGCTAGCGCGGCCACAAATGCACCAGCCGACGCCAAGCACTCATCGCAATCGCCGCCACGTGGGTTTTGCAAACCAAGTTGCGGACGGGCGGGCGGGGCGTTGGCAAGGGCGTGGAATGCGTCAGCTCATTTGCGAAACCAATCGCATCACAGGCACTGCGCCGTAAAAATGCACACCACAAATTGCAAGACATAGCGCCCGCCCCCCCCCCAGGCTGAACCATATCGAATGCTCCACACGCGGACGCATAGAACAATGTAGTTCCACAGCGCATTTGGCGCCCCAAAAGATCGCACCACCAATGTTGCACAACATAGATTGCATACCAAAGCTCGCATGCCATGTATTTTCCTTTTCTAAAAAAGATATAGAGCCCCCCCCCCCCCCAGACTTAACGGAGCTCCTTCGCGCATTGCGTGTTCATCTTATCTTGCGCAGTCGTCAATCCTAAATATGAATTCGCACCATCCCAGCCAGGCCGGACAACTACCACGCACACACACACACACACACACACACACACACACACACATACACACACGCACACACACGCACACACACTCACACCCACCCACCGCCCCCCCCTCATCTATGGAGAAGGAAGGAGGGATTGACAAACATACAAAACAACAACAACAACAACAACAACAACAACAAAAACAACAACAACAACAATCATTTTACCCGAACGCTCAGTGTTCTCACCAGTGCCAGGGTTTTCATGCGACGCCAGCCAATACCCCACTTTGTGGGGGGGCAGTGCAAGCTCTACCAAATATCCACACGACTCTTCGCCACCACCCACACCCAGCTTCCCGCCCTATGACGTTCGGACACTTCACTTCGTGGCCTGCGGACGACCGTGGCTACTACACTGGCGTGGAGTACACACCCACAGAAGTTGTTAATCCTACGTTCGTACACCCACAGAAGTTGTTAAGCCTTGTTAACCCACAGAAGTTGTTAAGCCTTCCACAGAACATCTGTTGCATATGATGCATATGGTACATGATACACATGATACACACGATACGTACTCACAAGATAGTTGATCACATCTGGTTTTTGTAGATTTCGACGTGCGCGCGCGAAGAAAAAACGAATGTGTCCCGCATGGTATTATTTGACAGGGATGATGGCCCTGGCAGGTGCGCAACCGTTGTCGCAGAAGTTTGAAAAAGTTGCTCGCAAAAGCCCGTTTGACAAAATTGTTTAAAAAGTGATGGTTTTCCTACGAATCCGCAAGAGCGCGCGGGATGAGATTTTGACAATTTTTAATTTAAAAAACCATTGGGTTTTTGATGTTTTTATGTTGAAATCGTTCCGAAACCTAAGGTTTTGGAAGGATTTCGTCTTGCACGCGCGAATGTCCACTTTAGCTTATTTTTTGCAAGGGATTCTTGAAATTGGATTACATTTGAACAATAAATTTCATTTTATAGTGTTTTTTGCAAGGGAAAACGGGGGGGAACAAAACAACCGGATCCGGTACTAATCCACTTTTCTGAAGCTTTCGCGAAAAAATGATGAAAATGTAGCTGCGGCCTAGGTTTTGGAGGGGGGTCGTGTACCAGGGGTCCCAACAATAATTATTCTTTAGAAGTAATAATGTTCAACAACAATTACTAGCACGTGGGGACACTCCCTTCTCACCAGTGCCAGGGTTTTCATAGGAGGCGGGCAATACCCCCACTTTGTGGGGGGGCCGGTTCAAGCTCTACCAAATTTCCAAACGACTCTTCGCCACCACCCACACCCAGCTTCCCGCCCTATGACGTTCGGACACTTCACTTCGTAGCCTGCGGACGACCGTGGCTACTACACTGGCGCATGGGTACAGTGACTTGTTGTGGTAACATTTTCTGGACGCTAGCTTAGTATACGACTTTTCCCCCTGTTCCAACACTGGACACCTGTACTGGTTTTGGTTTTAGGATTCGGACAGCGCGCGCGGGTAGAAATTTTGAAAATTCGTACAGATGTTTTTCGAGGACCTACGGTGCGATTCGTATGATTTTATGTTGCGCGGTGCTAAAATTCCTAAGAAACCCAATGGTTTTTGAAGATTTCGGCGTGCGCGCGCGAAGAACAACAACAACAACAACAACAACAACAGCCGCAAACAAAACAAAAATAAAACAAACAAACTGAAAACAAACAAAAAAACACACAAACAAAAAAAACAAAAAAAACGGGGGAACGCGCGCGTTCGCACTCGCTCATCAAAAACCATCGATTTGGTAAGAACCAGTATGACAACAACCAAAAACCAGCGCACGCGCGCGTCGTCGCGCGCGCGTGCCGAAATCCTTGCGCAACTCTAGGTTCGCATGGTCAAGTGCCCCGAAAAACATGTTAAAGCAAAAGGTCTCGCAACAAGAATTCTCGCCCCCCAGAACAACGAAGAAAAAAAGGGCACGCGCCCGCACTCATGCGAAATCTTAAGAAAACCATCGGTGTCCCACCATTTTCGTAAAATGCGACCAAATGCGCCTCTCGCGAGCGCAGGTCGACATTTTTCGAACGCCCCTGCGCGCGCGCGTTGTCGCAAAAATCCCCTGCAACAAAAGGGACGAAGTGCACGCAGGCGCGCGCGCGTCGTCGCGCGCGCGTGCCGAAATCCGCTCGCGTTTTTTGCGGGCTCCTAAGAAACCATAGATTCCCCAACACGTTTATCAAATTCTACCAAACGGGCCTCTCGCGCCGCATGCCGAACTCATTCGAACGCCCTTGCGCGCGTGCTGGGGGGGACGATCCGTGTCAAGTGAGACCACGCGGGCCACTCGCGCGCGTTGGCCGCGCGCGCATGTCAAACTCCCTCCGAAACCTTCATCGCCGACACGAGGGCATCGTCATCGTTGTCGGCGAGCGTGATCAAAATCGGTGTTGTCATTGGCCTTGCCGTCGTCATCGCCACCATCGTCACCATCATCGCTACTCTCATAGAATCGTTTATACCGTTGTCGGCGTCGCCATGATACCGCGCCCGCCCAAGTCACCGACTCGCGCTGAAGTGGCCGCTGGGAAGTGCCCAGCGGCCAGCGTCACCGCGGACGCGTCGGTCGCGCGAAACTAGCTGGCCGCTGTGCGCGCGAGCATGCACGGGCCAGCGCGGGCGCAGAGATGCACCAACCAACGCCAAGCACTCATCGCAATCGCCGCCGCATGGGTTTTGCAAACCAAGTTGCGGGTGGGCGGGTGGGATGTTTGCAAAGGCGTGGAATTTGCCAACTCATGAGTAAAACCGATTGCGCAGCATAGATTGCTCCATGTAGACTGTATAACACCGGTGGCTAGAAGCACACCACGCTTGCTAACACACCTACACAAGATGTGCATATACATAAATATGCGTAAAATCTGTACACATACATGCACAAACACAAATACAAGGGTGCGTACATACACACAGCGAGAAAGGAGAAACAATTGTCCTGCTTCTGCTTCTCCGCCCGCAGCGCCTCCTGTTCGTCCAAGTACTTCTGCTGTGCGGCTTTCACCATCTCCTTGTGCTGCGTCTGCTGCTGAACTTTCCACAGCGGCATGCCAGAGAAGCCAGAATTACCCTGGCCGTATCCGGAGGGGTGCGCATCGGTCTCCCCGTACATCCTGCGAGGTCCAGAAATGCGCCCGACCCTGCCAGCCCCAATCCGACAAACAGGGCCGATGACTGGACGAGTAGAGCAAGTGAGAAAGAACGGAGATGAGGACGAACATGACGATAAGATGGAGAGAATGACGACGACGACGACGATAAGAAGAAGAAGAAGAAGATCGAAGAAAGGACGAGGAAGAAGACTACGACTTAAATGCGGGTGCTGGTTCACATGGGATTACAGTCAGGATGGGGGCGCGTTTGATGATGACAAGGCCGGGGCCCAGGATGAGGACGAGCACGACTACAGCAGCGAGAATGAGGACTGGGACGGATATGCAAATGGAGGCGAAACGGCTTGAGACACCCACTCCATCTGGACCTCGGGAAGCAAGAAACCCAATTGCGCCTGCTGACACCGTTTCTGACGAAGCCGCTAGATTGGCTCGTACCAGGGAGCGCGCGAAATTTGAAACCGGTGTACTCTCAAGGCGTTCCCCGCGGAGCGGGCCCGACGCCGTGTGGCGGAGCGCCCCGCGTCAGCGCCTCTGCGAGCGGCTGAGGGGCGGTAGGTCCACGAACAGCGAAATTCAAAGGGGCGCGCGCGGGCGCGCTCCCCACCCGAGTCCCGAACCAGTTTTTCGGGAGGAGTGGGAGTCTTCGCAGAATCCACTCGCTCCCAGCCCCCAAGCGAGGAATGGGAGGGAGGGGGAGGGCCAGAGGGACGGGAAGAGGCAGAGAGGGAGGGGAGGCAGGCTGGATTCGCTCGCGCCCTGTTGCTGGCATCCGAGCCCACCCCACACGAAGAAGGCCATCCCTATCTGCCAACGGGTGTGTCCTGGAGTACCTTGATCCCCAGAATTGCCGCAGCGAGTGGTGCGCCTCCTCCTCCTCCTCATCATCATCACCACCACCACCACCACCACCACCACCACCATCATCATCATCATCATCATCATCATCATCATCAGCATCATCATCATCAGCAGCATCATCATCAGCAGCATCATCATCAGCAGCAGCATCATCAGCATCATCATCAGCATCATCAGTATCATCAGCGTTAGCATCATCATCAGCATCATCAACATCATCACCATCATCAGCATCATCAGCAGCATCATCAGCATCATCCTCCTCATCTCTATTATTAACACCACCATCATTCCCCACCTCCTCCTCCTCCTCCTCGTCCTCCTCCTCGTAATTATCATCATCATCATCATCATCATCATCAGCAGCAGCAGCAGCATCATCATCATCACCCTTCTCCTCCTCCTCCTCCTCCTCCTCCTCCTCCTGCTCAAAAGCCTCCTCCTTTCTCCTCCTACCCATCCCCCTCCCCCCTCCCCCCCCCTCCCCCTCCTCCTCCTGCTCCTCCCCATCCTTCCTCCTCCTCCTCCTCCTCCTCCTCCTCCTCCTCCTCCTCCTCCTCCTACTCCTCCTCCTCCGCCTCCACAATTGCTCAATATGAATACTACTCTCCCTCTTCCCCTGATGACGGCTTGAAAGTGTCCGACCCCCCCCGCGTACTGTTTTTACGCACAGGTTTCCCCGGAGTTGGGTTTTCGCCTGCATTTTTGTTCAAAATGCTGCTCTCGCTGAGGCGCTGGCCTCATTTTCGGGCCCCGCTCGTTCCGAATCGTGCTCCCGCTGCAGCGCTGGCCTCATTTCCATGCTTCCGCTCGTTCCGAATCGTGCTCCCGCTGCAGCGCTGGCCTCATTTCCGCGCTTCCGCTCGTTTCGACTCGTGCTCCCGCTGCAGCGCTGGCGTCATTTCCCGTGCCATGCCACGGCATGCAACGCAATGCTAGGTTGATACTACGATTTGCGGTGCTCTTCTACGCCATGCCATGCCGTGCTCTACAATGCATCGCGTACCCTTTCGGGATCATTGCCCTGCTCGACATTCGACTGTGCACGTAGAGAGGGGATCTGCGCCATGGTAAGGGATGGGAGGGAGGAGTAGGACGTCAGATATGACGCGAGCGCACCTAGCTTGCCCTCCCCCCACCATCTCCTCCTACTCCGAGCGGCGGTGCTGGTCCCCCGGAGGGCGGCCCGCGGCAGCGCCCGGCCGCCGAGGCGCGGCGGCCGGGGCGTCGGCGGCGGCGCCCGCCACGCGCGGTGGGGTGTGGACCCCGCGGGGGCGCGGGGGCGGGGCTCCTCCACGAGCCAGGCGGGACGAGGCAGGGAGGACGGGAGGAGGAAGAGAGGAGGCGGAAGAGGAGGAGAAGGAGGAGGAGGAGGACGAGGAGGAAAAGGAGGAGGATGGGGAGGAAGAGAGGAGGAGGAGGAGGAGGAGGAGGAGGAGGAGGAGGAGGCGAGGAGGAGGAGGAGGAGGAGGAGGAGGAGGGGAAGAGGAGGAGAAGAGGAGGCAGGAGGACGAAGGAGGAAAAGGAGGAGGATGGGGAGGAAGAGAGGAGGAGGAGGAGGAGGCGAGGAGGGGGGAGGAGGAGGAGTTGGGGAGGAGGAGGCGGAAGAGGATGAGAAGGAGGAGAGGAGGACGAGAAGGAAAAGAGGAGGATTGGGAGGAAGAGGGATGGGGCGGGTAGGCAGGAGGAGGAGGAGGAGGAGGAGGAGGAGGAGGATGATAGGACAGGAGGAAAAAGGAGGCTGATTGGGGAGGATGGAGGATGAGGAGGAGGAGGAGGAGGATGGAGGATGGGGGGGAGAACAGGAGGAGTGTCAGTAGGGAGAAAAGATAGGAGAAGAGCAAAAGGGTGGAAAAGGAGAAGGGGTGAGGATAGGAGGAGTAGGGATGGGTGGCAGAAAGAGGGGGGGGGCAGGAGGAGGTGAGGGGGCGGAAGGGGGAGGGGGGGGAAGGGGGGGATGAGGGATGGGGGGGGGTTAGGAGTGTGGGGGGGGTGGGGGTAGGGGGGGGTTAAGGGAAGGAGGTGTGTGTGGGGGGTTGGGTTGGGTTGTTGTTGTGAAGGTGTGGTAGTGGTGGGTGTATGATGTGGTGGTGAGTTTTGGGGTGGGGAGGTGAGGGGAGTGAGGTAGTAGGGGTTATGTGATGAGATGAGACCACTCGCGAAGCGAGTCAAAGAAATTACAACCCTCGGGACCGTTTCTCAGTACTGCTGGGAACTTTGCGCCATAGATTCCGAGAGATACGGCTCAAGTACTCCTTCCGAGATTTAGTGGTCGGGACAGGAGGGGACCTACGGGCAAGACACAAGTCCGCAAGGCCACAAAGCTGCTGTTGGGTATACTAACCACACGCCTTACAAAACCACAGGTCCAAGGAAAAATGGTACAGCATAACATGCGAACCGTGAACCTCACCCCCAGCGAAATGTAAAATCCGACCCAGGGGGAGTTTCGAAAGCGTGGCCGAAACATGCAATAAGTCGAAGCAATCTTGATTAAGCAAGCGAGTCCTATTCGCCTCGCTGGTAGAGTTCTGACACCTGGAGCACTTTTTCCCACACTCTTTCAGGCTGTGCCTAGAAGAGAACAGCGCCACAGCCACAGGAGGAGGGGGAGGAGCAACAGCAGCAGCAGCAGCAGGGCGCCGTTGCTTTGACCCCAATCGGCTTTGATAGCCTCCAACGTAGTCCTGAGCAAACGTTCACGAATCAAACGAGCATCAGCTTCGACCTGGAGCAACTGAAACCTTTGCGCAGAGGGGACCCCAAAAAGCTTGGCAGCTATGCCAGCAAGGTGGTCCACGAAGAGGTTCCCAGCAACGAGGGGCCCCGACAGGCCACGCGCGACAACTTCCTGAGCCTCAAAGTGGGAAGGGATCTGGAGCACAGCTAGGTCACCAGGATGACGGCCCGTCGCCTGAATGACTTCTCCAAGTTTCCTCCACAAATCGGGATTCGGCCCCGACGGAGCCAGAAAATTATTCGCCCAGAAACCCCGACAAACCTCATCATTGTCGGTGACAAAAGCGAGTGGCCCTCTAGAGTAGGCCACAGCTGAAACCAGGCAGTACAACTCCCCCCTGGGAACTGACTGGTGCCGACCAGGCAGTGGGCCATACAAGAAACGAACATATGTGCTCTCTGGCTGCTCGGGGCTACTAGATACTGCAATCCCTACTCTGCGCAGTCGAGGGCCGCGGGTGCCCTTACCCCCCGACGCGCCCCCGAAGAGGAGGAGGGGGTGGAGATGAGACCCGACCCCAAAGTACGGGTCAAGAACATCATCGTTCGGGTGGCTGTAGACCCAGCACTCTTCGTTGGAGGGGGGGGGGGGTCTAAAATAATCATGTCTCTGGGGGTCAGACCCCTGAGCCAAAAACACTCACAGCTACTAGCTTGGGCCAAGGCTTTGGGAACCAGCCTGTCCGAGGCAACGAAAACAGGCGAGTCGCGGTTACACTCGCACTCCCACCCGCGGTGGAGCGGGGTCTCCAAAGCCCGGCAGCACCTCCTACAAAGTTCAGGCGCCTGCAAGCCTGCACCCTTCTTCCTGTCGTCCGCCCAGGACCCGCCAACCGCAATGGTCAACATCAACTCGCTTAGCTGACGGCCATGACCTGGGATGCGTTCGAGTTGGCACAGATACCTGCGCAAGCTGAAGTTGTCGATGCCGTTTTCCGTGCCACCCCCACAATGAGACTTGGCTGCGGATTCCCTCCACAGCTTATCCTGGAGCGACTGGGCGAAACGGTCAATCAGATCTCGCGCTTGATCGACAGCCTTGAACTCATCCGAGGAAAACATCCACCCTTCCCCCTCGCATCCCACGCCAGTAGGTGGGAACCACGTTGTAGCCTGCGGCACCTCCCATCCTGCGTTGACAAGGTTGGTGATCACGGCAGGGAGTGGCCCCCGTACATGGCGCCAGCGACGTCGAGGTTCGATAGCAGTCACCTGACGCACTGCATCTCCCCAAACTCGACCAACTGAAGCACGAGCCCTAGGATACTGCAGCCAGCACTGGACCCACTGCTCCAAGCACAGGCGAGGCAACGCGTACCCAGGGTCAGCCCCTGGGGCCCTCAGGTCGAGTAGCGTCGTCAAGCACCGTCCTCGACGGTGTCCCGACACCGCCCCAAGTCGGCGCCGAAGCTCCAACAAGACGGTATCAGGCAATCCTAGAACTTGGTGGCCGTAACGCGCCCCCGCTCGAGGGCCCGCCAGCTCTATCTTCTTGAGCACATTGAAGCGCCTAGACGCCCCAGCATATTTCCGAAGACGACCATGTTGTTTCTTGGTGTTGGCCATGCGCAGGTTCCGAGTCGAACGTGCCAGCCTTTTCCCGCAGCTCAAGTCGACGCCAAGGTACGTCAGCCTCTGGACACATTGCACCTTCACCCCTCGTCTGGACAGCTCACGCACGATGGCCTTGGCGTCCTGCATGGAGGAGCACGCGATGGCGCTCTTGGGGGCTAACTGGAGACCTTCATCCTCGAGCATATCGTGAACGGCTGTGACTCCTTTAATGAGGGATTCCCGCACGAACTGACTGGAGCCCACTGCCGTCTGCGACAAATCGTCGATCCACAATCGTTCCGATAACGCTGGATGTGCCACCGCCAGGCGCTCCATCACCAGGCTGGTGACACAACGCGCGAAGCGCGTGCCTGAGCGCAGCCCCTGGGTGATGCTCCTCGTGGCCTGAAAAGGAAGCGACACCGCACCGCCCTGGTCGAGCATCCGCGGGGCCGCGCACATCTGCAATTCTAGCCCCAACATCACTGCTGGGAAACCGTATCTAAAGGCACCCTTGACCAGGGTACTCCATTCCATCATGTCGTAGAAACGCTGGATGCCTGCCAGAGCGTGACCGCTCGCCATCTTGAGCCTGGTGTACAGCTCGTCGTCGAGCGCCCTCGTAAACGCTTCTTTGAGCGACGGGTTCCCCACGTACAGCTGCGTCCCATGAGGGCTGATCTGCCTGAGCCCATGTCTGCACGACCGGCCCACGCGCGAGGGACCACACCCTACACAGAACACAAACCAAGCCTATGACGCGAAATTGACCTTCAGCCTTCGTTGGCAGGAGCCTGCCCAAGACGCCCATCAGATGCCACGACCACGTCTGGCACTCTTCGAACACGTTGAGAAGTTCTGCTGGCTCTGAAAGAGTTTCGTCTGGGAGGCGCTCCAAGTCGAGCGGGGACAGGCGGTCGATGCCCTGCCCCGCCCGCGCCTTCATGGCGCGCAGGGCTCGCCTGACGTCGTCGAGGCCCAGCGGTGGAGGTGGTTCCAACCGCGCACGCTCCTGAATGGTGCCGAACAGGTTCCGAACCTCGCTGCGATCCTCAACCTCGGCGGACGTCCACAACTTGCGCCAGTGAGCAGCACGGTGGCCCACCAAATGATGGGGATGTAACAACATAATGCCACCGACTTCCATCTGATCTGCGGACTGAGGGACCTCCTTGGAGGCCTTAAAAATAGCACCCGTCGTAGAGTTGTCGGTAACCCATGTCTTGAAATCTGCCATGGGCGAAGAGATGGCGCGGCTGCGCGCCCTGCCTGCGATGACCCTCGCCTCCGCACTGAAAGACTCCATCTGCTGGTGCGGCACGCTGGCGAGATCCTGCACGAGCTACTGCCACACTGACCAGGAAGTAGCCTCGGGACCTGCCCCGACCAGCTTCTGAACACCATCGGGGGCCTGTGATCCTAGCCGACTCCCCGCCTGAGCCAACCCACGAAGCCGAGCAGCTCCATTCCCTCTTCGCACATGTCTACTCATCTTACTCAACATAACGTGCACCCTCTCCCACCAGTTCGCGACCACGTCCTTGAAGGGCATGTCACGAGGATGCTGAGAATGATGTACTCGATCGATCATCATAGTTGGGCCGTCTGCCCTGGAAGGCGCACCTCCATCCTCTGCGCCTGCGCGCTCGTGATGCACCGCCTCGGCCGCTACGATCCAGGCAGAGAAAGCACCGCTCACGCTGAGGACATGTGCGCGGTCGACTCCATACGAAAGCGAGTCGCGGATGGGTTCCCAGACTCGATCAGGAGCGTGCAAATGGAAGCCCGAACGGGCTCGAGCCAAACGCCAGCGGTCGGGCGAGAGCGCAAAGGCACAAGCAGCGCAGGAGGGCGGAACGGTGGGAGTGCCACCGTGGGCGTCGGATTGATCTACTGCTTCAACCCTGGGGTCGATCTCGCTGGGGGGGGGGGGGCCTCAACAGGTTCATTCGCGACTTCGCTCGCAACTGGAACTGGGA